CACCAGCCTGGGCAACTGAGCCAGTCCCTACTGTCTCTAATGACAGTTTTGTCTTTTTTCTTTTCTATCTCACATTCTTTTTCTCGTTTTACTGAATTACTAAGAACTCTACTAGATTACTGATGGTTATGGTATTGTTGGGTATTTTCTTCCTGTTCTGAACATTAATGCAAATGCAGCTAATGCTTCACCATCAAGAATGATGTTTGCTGTAGTTTTGTGGGAATTTTCCTTCTCTTTCTAGTTTGCTTGGAACTTTAGGAATGAGTATTGAATTTTATTAAATGCTTTTTTGGTACTCACTAAGATGATCTAGGTCTTTTCTCTTTTAAATCAGTTAATAAATTACCTATCAGTCTATCTAAAATGGTGATTCATCATTACATTCTTAAGGTAAAGCCTTCTTGGTGATGTTAAATTTTATGTGAATGCACTACCTTATTCAGTTTACTAATACAATGCAGTCATATTTACACATAATTAGGGACACAATAAAAAAGTCTCACTTTCTGTATAAAATTGGACATAAGAGGAAATCTCTCCAATTAAAAAAGATTATCTACAATTGTATACTTTCATGGAGGGCAGGCCTGGTAAGTAGAACAAACTGGAATTATGCTATTGTTACATGGCAGTGCCACTTCAGTTCTTAATAATCTCTATTCTTTATGAATGTCCCCAAAACAAGAGCATGATTTACATGCAAAGGAAGCACTATCAGATGGTGATAACTAGTCATGGTTATGTTAGCACTCCTTATTATTTAAGTATTTTTTCTCTTTTTAAAAATTTATTTTTAATTGTGATAAAATACATATAACATTCATCACTTTCACCATTTTTAAGTGTACAGTTCAGTGGTGTTAAGTACACTCATATTGTTTACATTTTTTATATTTTATTCTATGTCATCCAATTCTTCATGAAGTATGACATTAGTTTGAGGTGACCCACAACCCATAACTGTAAAATACCTTGGGTTAGACGAGCTAAAATGCTAGGAAGAAGAATGAACAACCTCCACAATGTAGGACCTCTTCACTTAGAAGAGAGTACACTCCGGGTTTCATTTAGAGACAATGCCAAGTAAATGAAAAACAGCAGCAACCTGGGAATGTTTCTAAATTTTAAAAAAAGTGAAATAACCAAAGGAGGATAACAGAAAAAAAGCAGAAAAATTCTATTGAAGTGGCCATAAGATCTTTGTAACTATAATA